AGTTACTACGCAGTTACATCTTGAAACTGCTTCGTCATTTCTATTGATTTGACCTCATTTGTAGCAAGTGCTTGCACGGAAACAAATCAGTAAGTTTGCAAGCAAAGCGAGACGATCTGACATAGTAGGTTGTTGAACCCGATAACAGGGAAGGAAGTAGGCTACATGCTCCAACAAGCCAACAAGACTATTTATAGTGACTACAGTAAGTTTACGTACTCGAGCGAACCAGGGCGACATGTCAGGATGGCCGAGCGGTCTAAGGCGCCAGACTCAAGGGAAGTAGATAACCTTACCACGCTACGTGGGCGAGAGTGTTCTGGTCCACGAATGTGGGCGTGGGTTCGAATCCCACTTCTGACACTTTTTTAAATTATATATTTTTTTTCAAACTTTTTTGTTCAAAGAATACAGACGCAATGGTTGTCATCGTCGTTTCTTTTTCAAGTGATTCCCCCTTTTTTCCTGTTTTTCAATGCATTCACCTTAGCAGAAAGGTGAGTGGTTAGTGCGTGCTCTAGTGCGGTTTGCTCCTTCTTTCTTACAAACATACCTATTATCTTTATCTCTCCTTCTTTTTTTGCTTCTTCCTCTCCTCTAATCTTCGGCTATATGATCTAATTGTGTAGCAAGTGCAGTAAAAAACTTTCTAAAACAAAACAAACAGAATGACGTTGACACGCCATGAACCACTTTGCCCGGCCCATATATTTAAAAAAAACTGAAAATGAAATAGTGTACCACAACGAGCAGGAATGTTTGATTGTTGTGATGATGGCAGTTGTGATAGTGGTGGTTGTTTTGTTGTGAAGTTAGTAGTGATGCTACTACTGATGATGAAAAAGGTTATTTATTATTGTTGATGATGATTATGATGAGGATGATGATGATGATTTTGTTGTTGCCTTTATGGGCCTGGTGGACTCCACGAAGAAATCTTCGAGCGAGAGCGAGGCTCTTTTTCGGCTTCATTGTCATTATACTTAGATGCACCTCCACTCGTCCAAATAACTCCTTTCGAATTGCCATTATTCCTGGACATTCAATATGTTTGACATCCTCATTTTCATGACTGCATCTTCGGCAAAGTGGGCTTAGCTCTTCATTCACAAAGTTCTTATACCAATGATGATGATGGTGATGTTGATGATGATGAAGAAGAAGAATCAATTTAATAATAATGAGGAGGAGGAGGATAAGGAGGAATTGGGGGAGGAGGAGGAGGAGGAAGAGGAGGAGAACGCGGAAAGAAGTCAATTGCAAACGGGAGAAGGAAAAGAATGAGTAAAAGTAGGTGGAGGCGAAATAAAAAAGATGAATAGGAGGAAGCAAGTCGCAACTTCGGTGCTTTTTCCCCTATCTCCTTTTTTTTGTAACAGTGAAAATGTGACTTCTTTTTAAGCTCACTTTTTGTTATGAACTGTTTTCACCGTTATTAAAAATGGAGATCCGGCAAGAAAGCACCAAGGTCGCGAAGTACAGAAAGAGAACCGCGCAACAATGACAAGGACAATATAGATGCTGACGACGACGTTTTTCATGCTGAAAACTACAGATATGGGGTAGGCTACATGGAAGTGGAACCAAATTTGAAAAAAAAATAGACAGGAAAAGGAGGCTAAAACAGAACCTGGACATGGATTCCTAGCTGACGCCTCTATAAATAAGTATTATTATTGCTGGCCAAAGTCAAGGTCAAGACAACGGCAACGTTAATGATGTACTCACAAAACACGCGCCGGTGTCCCCGTAGCCCAGGCACACTTGGGAGTCCAGCACGTCTATGTTGACCCTCCCCCACATGCCTTTACAGGCGTCCAGGTCCACCACGTCCACAGGCACCTCGTTCATCGCGTGCTCCTGGCCGCCGGAACCTGGGGGAAGAGACGCAGAACAAGGTGTGAAATACTAATTCTACTATTAATCATCATCATCATCATCATCATCATCATCATCATCATCATCATCATCATCAT